CACGAGCCGTTCTCCGCGACGGAAAACCCCGTTACAAAGCAGGCAGTCATGTGTGTTGCCGAATCCGATGTATATAATGAAGATACGACTGAGCGCCGAAAACCCGCTACAACAGCCGCACTGCAGCCGTTGTTGGCAGTCGTAAATGCTTCGATGGTCTGATTGGACTTCTTCTTGAAGGCGTTGATGTCGGTGAACTTGTTCGCCTTCAGAAGGCGATTCCCTCACATGGTACCCGTGCCATGGAACTGGCGCTTCTGGATCTCTGCTGCAAAACCGATCATCAGGGTCAAGCTTGGTGCTGCTTTGGAAGTGACATACATCCATAACCATCCCGAACCGGTTGAGCCGGTGGGTGCGACCAGTTACGGGCTCAGTTACGTCTTTACGGCTCAGTTACGTCAGTTACGGCTCAGACCAGTTACGTCAGGCGGGCTGGGTCAGCATTCTCTTCGTCGATAGAGTCTCCGTTTGTGTCGACGCGAACTTCCGGCGGCTCTAGGACGACGACCGTGACATCGGCGACTCGACTTCGCTCCTCGATGCCATCCAGACAGGGCTGCGGAGTCGGAGTCGGAGTCGAAGTCGGTCGGAGTCGACAATTCTGACCGGAGTCGGAGTCGGAGTCGATTTTGGAAACCGGAGCCGGAGTCGGAGTCAGAATCACCGACAAACCCATTGACTCCGCTGACCTGGCAGGGCTGCTGAGTCGGGAGTCGGAGTTGGAGTCGGTCGGAGTCGATAGTTCTACCCGGAGTCGGAGTCGGAGTCGGAGTCGGAGACACTGAAAATCCATCGACTCCCGCAGCCCTGATCCAGAACATCGTTGAGGCTCACATTTGCCATCAAACCAAAGCATAAACGTGTTTGATGTTTGGGAAACAAAATGTAACGGATATGCATAGACGTACATTATTGTACGTGCGTTTTTGTGAAACGTACTATTTTTGGATTTGCTTGGTAAGCAAAATTAGCATTATAATGACACCACTCATGAAGTTAGGGTCATGCTTGAGCAGATTGCTGGCAACGAAAGCTAATCCGGGAAAAGCACTTAACTATAATTAAGAACACTTGGCTCACCTTGGGTCGAGCGTCTGAACGGGTGAAAATCTTCCCGTTGCGGCATCAACAAACCGAATGCCTCAAACTCAACACTGAATGCATTGGAACCGTGTTTTTTGGTATTCACCTGATGGCTAACAATGTAAATGATTTAGAACGACCGCGTTTGATGGCTCATTAGCTCTATTTCTATAAAGATGGCACACATTGGTCAACTCAAATTGACGTACATTTATGTACGTCTATGCATATATGGGTTAAGGGTGGGCAGTATCAAATTCCATGTACTATATATAGCTGAACTTAGAACCCGGTGGTAGGGTCACAATTGGGGGGATAGTCTGCTTGACCACGTAAGAATTGGTAACCATCTGTGGCTTACACCACCAAGCGGATTTGAATGAATTGAATGAATTGGTGTCCATTCATTCACGCACTGGTGGCGTAAAGGAACATCGTTAAATCGCTCTGACGACATCGGTCCCTCTGCGGCGCCCTGATCTCATATGTAACCCTTTGTAAGCACCGCCTTGACTTCATTTGTACTCCCTTTCTGCGGTTTACATCTCATCAGTACCCCTTCGCGCCTTCCGGAAGCAGTCTATCGCTATGCGCAGCACCGCAGCAGCATGCATCTTTTATCAAACCCCGCTGCGTCCCATCCTCACCGCTTCTGGCGGCGCGACTCCCATCCTTCTGTAGGCAGGGTCGGTAATATAACCAGGCGCCGTGCCGGCAGCGACGGTCATCGGGACCGTCCGGCCGCTCCGGCGCGTCAATTGGACCCTCTGAATAGTTCAAAGGCGCCGGGACGCGGCCCGATGACGGATGTCACCCGTAACGACCCGGGAGGCCGACGCGGTGCCGACTTATCGTCCCAGTTTGTTCGTGTACTTCTGGTCCGGGGGAGAGGTCACGACTCACGACCCACCGAGGTCACGACCTGACGTAGTCAGCTGACAGGTCACGACCCGACACTGCAGTCAGTTGACTAGTTGCAGTAACCGCGATTCATGAAATTACGATAGCGATTTAGTGCATGCTGATTGCTTATCACTGCCTTGAACTGGCGCTATCAAGTTCAGCTGCTCAGTGCTGTCTGATAGGTCAGAGAAGCGGGTACTTCATGTAGATTGCCGTGACCATTCAACAACCTGGCATTAAAAGATTTATTCTGCAGAGTTAGAACATTTCTAAAATGAAATAATACTAAATGATTCTAATTGATTTTCAGAAATTTGAAAAGTTAGATAATGATATCCTGGTCGTGAAACTTCTATCCATATTAGCTTCCTCACCGAACTCAAAGGGGCGCCAAAACAGTATCAGACAAGTGGAGTCCGACAGAATTGTTTCTCAAGTACGGGACAAAAGGAATGACAAACTTATTATTAGAGTGTTGCGCATGATGACAAAACAATTAGGGTATTCATTTTAGGTCATTCCACTGCACCAAATCAATATAACCCGTCCTACCTTTTCATTCAGGTTCTGTTGTCCATCAGAATACCTTGCAGTGGAGAGAAAGGTACCGAGATTGACTGAATGCGGCTTCCAAATAAGCCACAAACGACGAGAATCGTTTCTCTCGTGCGAGTTTAATTCCGTGGCGCTCCGCGAAAAGACTTTGGACACTTTTTCGCTGTCTCATCAACAATTTGGTAACTTCCTTGGACGCTGATACGAATGAGCGCAGCCACGCTTCGGCGAATACTAGCTGAGTTGCGAAAACCCAGATTTCTGAATGATGAAACCGGTCTTCAGTGGCTGCTCGCTTCCTTTTATAGAAAAACAGGCGAGCCTCGTGGCACTGGAAAAAGACGTTTGCTCTATTCGTGTTTGAGTCATTTGTGGACATGAGATAAGAGTATCTAATGGTCTTGCAGCAGTTGTATTGAAAATATATCGATGATCGAAGATACGGGCTTTCTGTGAATCGCAATATTTATAATGGCCTGTTCTTTAGAATTAGATCATGAGAAAGCTTTCGACTTCTAAACCAGGTTAGGTGATAGATCATGTATGTATGTACCTACGGGCGCAATTTATTGGTGTAGAGGACGTATGCATAAAGAAAGTACCTGTATAATGTGTAGCATTACTTACACATTCGTTATTTTCCGATAGGCTTAGTCTTTACTTTTCCTAGTGAATACCAAGTGAATACGACGTCTCTGCTCAATGTTATGACGCCTATGTGCATGCGCCTTCCCTCCTCTTACTTCTCAGTATCCATCTATAACTTAAACTCAAGTGTAAGGGCGGGGGCGAGGCATTAACTCTTCCATCGACCTGAGGCAGCGTCTGGTTTTAGGGTCAATTCAAGGGATTAGCCGGGCCTGCGGCGGCAGGAGAACATTGCTGTACGGCTGAAGGAGGTCGTACGGTGTCCTTAACTGCATCCCTTCGCTATCACATTTTCATACCGCAACAGATAAGTGCCTATTATGCTACCCTGAGGATAGTGCGTAGAAATATGTGTGTGTTAGACGAGCAACCGCGATTATCAAGAAGAGGATGCAAGTCAGAAATAACCTGAGTATGGCTTCAATGCTGATACACTAGCACACTGCACAAGTGCATACATTAATCAACATTATACATGGAATCATGTTTATATTACCCACGAATGAAGTTTTCCGTTTCTTTGTTAATTGTGAACATATTTGTAACATTTCAAAAATGACTTCATGCAAAACAAACTGACTGGAGCCCCTGTAGCATACAAACAATCAACACACAGGAAACGCCCAACGCGTGAGATTTACACAGTCACATAGACGTGATTGATTAGCTCGTAGCACCAAATACATGAGCTTCATGACATAACTTAATGACGTTACTCAATGTAGCTTCAGGACATAACTTGCAAATCAGCTCGAACCTAATGTGAACGAAGAACCGGCTTATGATCGTTTGTTTTGGGTCACCTAGAACACTATCGGATCTGCAACCGCTTATCTCCGGCCCCACACGTCAGTACGACCATGTCTGTGGTGGTGTGTTCCAGGAAATTGGTCCCTTGGCGGCGGGTCTGGCGACAACACCTGTGCCCGGCTGCCAGCCGCCCCTCGTGCTTTGCGCGATGCACAGGACTGAGCGACAACTTCCGCTGCGCTCAGCCAGCATTCGGCAATGAGCTATGTTTGTTAAATACGATATAGAAATGTGAAAAGAAAAAAGCTAAAAGCAAGCAAAATCCATTTCAGAACTCTAATTTTTGGTATTATTCACGATTGAAATAATAACGGATGCTGCCGAAGAAAATATATCTTGTAGGAGCGGCATTACCATGATCCTGGTTGAATGCTTTATATCAATCACCTTAGATAAATTTCAAGAATAAGAAAAATAATGAAACCAACAAGTCGCTTAACCATGATGCATCCCGCAGTCTAGACGTCTGGATCGAGGGATACATCGACCACCGTGTCTGCTTTGAGTGGTCAACAGTCAGGCATCAGACATGGCCTGATACATTGTCTGGGCTTACAACTACCCTCAGAAAGATAAATGTGGCAAATAGGGGTATGAAGAAAGGACCAGACGCCTTCCTCCGTCTACTTACCCATGCATTCTACAAGAAAGATAAAAAGAACGTGGTCCACACGGAGAAAAACGCTGTTTTTAGTGGCCTAGTGGGTAGAATGTTCGCCTATGTTATTGCAATCATGTTCACGTCTTACATGGCACATACATTGAAACATCAGCACGTTATCAACGCTAGGAAAGCAACTATGTTTTATGATGCCTTTATTCTCTAGAAAATTCACCACCATTGCATCGTTGAGCCTCAACCTTCCGGCAGCCAAGCCAAGCCACTTGAGCAAACTGCCCTCCCAGCAAAGTTAGCGCAATGCCGTTAGCTCGTGTCCGATATGGTATCAGCAGTGGAGTTTGCCTGACGAGTCTGTTGATATTGTCAGTCACTTTGTACCCAGCTGAGGCGGCGATAACTGCGGACCTTGCGACGGGGATGCAGTGTAGTGAGTAGTGACAGTCGTTCGACCACCGCGACGCGGACAAGGTGACCTGTCAGCGTGCAGTGCAGCCTGTCATACCTGTGAGCCGGGGTTGAGGTGACCGTGACTGCGTCGGGTGCTGACTGCCCCCTGTCTGTCAGGTGCCGACCTGCTAACTGACGTCAGACGGCTTCTGATATTTTGCGATGTGACACGTGTCTGTGCGATACTCGTCAGTGAGGGGATCACTCACGGCAGTGCCTCGTCAGGCGTGATAGTGAGCGTGATACGTGCTTTCAGTGAGGGGGTGATCCGTAAACGCATGTGACGAGTGACTCGGCAGATAAAATCCCTCGGGTATGGCGGAGGCCAATGTGAGCAAGAACAACCCACCTATGGAGGACATTTGGAGGGTAGAAATTGGCCAAATCATCATCCGGTTTCGTACCAACAAACCCAAAGGGGCGCTGTGCGTTTGGCAAAACCTAGTGTCTCAGCTATCAACTCTCCTGAACGGATGTTTCGAGACTGAGGCTCTAGTGCTATGGAAGATGCTCCTTAACGCGATCCCAGAGCTTCTAAGGACGAGCCATATCGCAGAAACCCAGACTTTGTGGAGGTCTCTCACAGAAACGGTACTGGAAATAAGAGCAGTGGGATATTCACAGACAGCGAGTGCGATGTGGAAGACGCTGTTAGCCATGGCACCAAAGCTGCTCGCAGAATTTCCAAACGGTGTCACAGAGCTGATGTGGACTGAAGTGTGTCAAACAGCAGCCGAAATGGAGTCTGGTGCTTCCGATCCGGAGAGAACGCCACTTCCTGCATCGCCGTCACCGTCACCGCTGCCTTTACCAACAGCGTCACCAGCGCTAACATCGTCACCAGTGCAACCACCGCCCCCGCTACCGTCACGGTCGCGGTCACCTTTACCGACCTTGTCAATACCAGAACCAGGGCCACCAGCAGGACTGTCACCAGGGTCTTCACCAAAGCGCCTGTCACCAATACCTTCACCAAAACGTCCGTCACCAGCACCTTCACCAACCCGATCTTCACCAGGTGATCCGAGGCAGAGTCGCTTTGATCCGAGGCGGACACCGTTACCGCCACCACCAGTACAGCAGCTACCATCAGCACAAGCACCAGTAACGTCGGCACCATCACCAGCACTGACACAATCAACGTCACCATCGCCGTCACCATCACCAACAACAGCTCAGTACCTTCCACCCAAACCACGTCCAATATCACAGTCTGGTTTGCAAGAAACTCAGCACTCAAAGCCGCCCAAACCGAAAGTGAAACCTAAACCTCTGCTCGCTAATCGAAAAACTTTTACAGCTCCATCACTTGCCCCATCAATACAACCAGCGCCAAGACCCGTTGTGAAGCAGCAACCTCTAGTGGTGACCCAGTCGGGTGACCAGGTGTCGACGACTGACTCCGAGTGGGATCAGGGGATGCAGCAGGTCCTCACGGAGCTCAGTCACAGGGGTATCGGAGATCTCCAGAGAGGACGGCGGACCGGCAGGATGGGGAACGTGCGCCCCAAGTCGTGCCAAAACCCCACAGGTAAGACGGGCGGGTGCGGCGACCAGCGAGTTACGCAGGTGTGGGTGCTCTAAGGCGTTCAGCGACTCGCTGAATGGGGAGCTAGCTGGGGTATCTAAAGAGGGGTTCAGTATCGGGCTTCATTGCCGATTAAGGTTCAAAGCTGATGAGAAGAGACTTTAAAAACTGCTCGGCGAAAAACGTAAGCCCATAACAAATGAAATGTCCAACTGGGCTTGGTTGGTTACTGTCACTCTTTTCTTTGAACCATTTTTCGCATATATGTACATTCAGCGCAGGATATTGTTTCTTACCAAATCAACCTGTCTATCTAAAATTCACAGATACCCGGAGGCTTTCGGCACCTTTCGAAAAGCTTTTCAGTGCGCTGACTCCATCGGGACTGCAAGATCTGCAAGGTCATGACCTCACCTGCCAGAGCTGCCCCGCTACGGCGACAGACAACATAGAGGACGAGCCCGGCTGGGTCATGGTGCCTCGCAGTCTCCCGCAGTCACAGGCGGTAGGTACTTGGGACTCGTCACAGAGGGGCCCTTTCCTGAGCGATACGATCTTTGTATGTATTGATCTCTGTATGATGATTTGTGAGGTGTACGATCTTATTATCAATCTGCGGCATACTGCAGTGATACTGAACTTTGAAAGTTATTCGGAGAACGGAAACTGACTAAGCCGTAAGCGTACGTATATTCATTGTTCCCCGTGTCTTAACTTTATTTTACAAAGGCACCCAGGTCCCTAGCCCCTGACGGAGTCTCCAAGCCTTGACATGCAGGTAATAAACTGACTTCTCTCTATCTTATCAGTCAGATTAATTGGGTCTCCGGGCACCTCAGGGCTAAGTGCAACACATCAAGTGTTACACCAGTATTGATATCATATCATATCATATATTTCGGACAACACCCATAAAATGAATGAAAAGATTTAAGAACCAAGGCCTAATGGGTTGATAAGGGAGTGTCTGATTACACAGAGGAGTTTGCCGGCTGTATGCAAGTGTATCTAGGGGTTAGAAACTTGCAGGCTAGGTGTTAGGTAGGTACCCTTATCATGTAGATTGGTGGTGGTGGAACGATTAGTCCGTGAGTTGCTTGCTTAAACCATGCTAAATTAAGATAGGTACCTAAGGCAAATGTAACCGCGCATGTATTTTGCTCGGACACCCTAACCCGATCGAAAATCCCAAAAACTTATACGCTGTCTAAATTTAGCTGAAGACGCAAGTAGGAGCCTCTGCGTTGTTTCGTGATACAGCAGGAAATTCGGTTACGGAACCCCTGCAGCGGGGAATTTGGCAGCGGAAATCCCGTGCGCTATCGGTAGTCAGCTGGCGGCTGCAGTGACCCTGAGGTCGGACCGGGGAGGGGGGAGGGGGAGGGTGGCAGGGGCAGAGGCCGGTCACAGTGCCACGCGCCGCGGACGGGTCAGCGTATGTGTGAGCGTGTCCTGAGGTAGTAGCTGTGCAGACTGAGAGGTTCCTGGAGAGAAATGTCGATACAGGTGGTGAGTAATATGTCTAGTATCCATAACATTGCGAATAATGTTGTGCATACAGTATGTCTAGTGCCTAGCCCCACAGTAGTGCGGCATGATAATGTGACAGACTAGGATCAGGATGAGCGTGCTAGACCAGATTCATACGCTGTTGCCTCAGATCTACCTCCATAATATTCACAGAAATGCACGGAAGTCACTCTTGGCTTCACCCCGAATGCCTTATTCCCATTTTTGCTAAGAACTTGAGACGAAAGAAAGCCATGGGATTGGGAGTAGTGCCTACCTAAGTTCATTTCAGTGTTTAAGATGAACGCTGTTTTTTTTTTTTTTGCATTTCTATCCTGCTCAAACTTATCGGTGAACGGTGGTCTATCAATGGCATACATCGCGCCAAAAGGACGATACGTATCGCGCCATTCTCAATATGATGTAGCTCGCTGAACACAGTCCTTTCTTTCCCAGGAGTTGGATGATGGCTCTGGAGCTGCCAGAGTTCGTTTCTCGGCTTCTGCTACGAACGGATCGCCGCCGGGTGCGGAGCCGGTGGGCACGTCTCCTGCTACCTCCGGAGGGCCACTGCTGCGTCCATCCTCCTCTTCAGCTTCCCTAACAGCACCCACGTCACCCTCTTCACCAGCCGAGCCGCCGCTCTGGTGCCGACTGCCCTCCGTTATCAACAGCGGCGTCCTCGACAGCCTCAGCAGCGACCAGAGGAAGCTGCGAGAGGCTCTGTTCGAGATCATCAGTAAAGAGGAGTCGTATCACAGCTCCCTTCAGCTATTAGAGCGTCATTTCCAGGAGCCACTTCGAGCGCTAAGCCAGAAGCCACCATCGCCGAAACAGAACGGTCAAAACGGGCAGAAAGCACGGCAGTGCACCTTCAGTGAGACCGAGTATCGCGAGCTGTTTCAAAACGTTGACGAAGTGCGCCGGTGTTCAGATGACTTTCTGACTGACCTGTACCAAATACCCATGGACGATCTCTCGGGCCTCTGTGACATTGTGCACGAACACGCCAAGCACAACTTCTACCCGTACAAGGTCTACTGTGCGCACAAGTGGCACCAGGACCGTTGTCTTCAGCAGCTAACCGAGCGGAGCTCACCGCTCGCCGCGCTGCTCTCCCGCCTGGAGATGTCCCCAGAGGTGCGCGGCCTGGGTCTGGCGGCGCTCCTCCACCTGCCCGTGCAGCACGTGCAGAGGCTGCCCATGATGATGGAAGCTGTGCTGAAGAGGATGCCACCCGATCACCCGGAAAGACAGAGCTGTGAGGAGGCGCACCGGGCGCTCACTAAGCTCGTCAAGGATTGTGACGAGGACGCTGCCCGGGAAGAGGAGAGATTGGTGAGTAAAAATCGACTTTCTGCTAAGAATGACCGTGTTATGCATAAAGCATCTAGCTGATAGTGTGTGTGCTTCTTTATGTTTCTCACAAAGTTAGTATTACTCCTCAGACATCTCTGACCTCCGTCCCCCGTCCTCTCGCTGGGTTTCAGGAGGCGGAGGAGAGTGGCACGGTCGAGCCGGAAAGGGCCGCGAAGGGCCGCCTGTCGTGGCGGCGGAGGGGCGTGCGTCGCCACAGTGCAGATGTGGGGTCGCTGAAAAGGGCACCAAGCTCATGAGGGGGGCCCGTATCCGGTGGATAAGGTCCTACTCCGAGGAACTGATTGTCAGGTCAGATAGTCAGGCAGACTGTGATAGGAGTCATTTTGATAGAAGATAGAGCGACAGAACGGCTAGGGTATTCGAAGCGTAGGAAGATCCTCACCCCTGGCTACCAGATCGGTTACGCCCATGATAAGCATATTCATTAAATCAACTGACAGCTGCGTTGAGACAGCACTTAACGTCATTTAGTGTCGTTTTCGAGCACAATTCAGCCTATCCGTAACAGTGGTCAGTATGTAATTGTTCAGGTCTGAGTGTGGCGTCAAAACCGTGACGTAGTGCATAATTTACTGGGCGTTTTCACTGCCTCACTCGATCATAATTGTCATTGGAACTAGCTGGCTACATGATTAGAAAGGGTTTGGTGATTGTGATATGTCTCATGTTCATGTGCTTTCAACTGTGACTTAGTATGACAGTGTACGTACGTTGAAATGTGAATAAAAATCTAGCAAAGTCATTTTCAGTCAGCATTCAGTCGTTCATCATTTCCTCAGGGATAAACGGTAAACAGACAGTCAAGTAACTACTTCGTTAAACAAAGGTCACACGAAAAGATATTCGGCGTAAACCAGCAAACTCAGTTGTCAGCAAAGATGAAACGAAGCTAACGGAACTGTGACTTAGCCTAGCACCATGTTTCAACTGTGGATTGTGTAATGCGGGGGTAAGGGGTTGCAACTGCAGCGGAAGTGCAAGTCTCCGTCCGGTCTTGCACTTCGCGGCGGCATGCGACTCGACATCTGCGCAACTCAGGCGATCGTGGCAAGTGCTGGAGCAGACGGAGTCATTTCCTCTTCACAACTGCGACCTATCTTCGCATGGAATGAGAACGAGACGTTGCGAAAGCCCAGCAAAGCATGAAAACTGTAATCGAAGGCTTGTGAATGAACAAGTCTATCGCATCTTCATTCTTCAACACAAAAGCTTAACCCTCGCCCGGCGAGGGGGGGTTGATGCAGCCCCCCCCCCCTAAGGTTTTTCGCAAATAACGTTAAAACGGCGGCGCGTAGCGAATTTGGCATACCCTCTGGGTCAACCTTTTGGCACCTTCCCTGAAAATTTCAGGTCTCTGCCGTTTCAGGTCAGATCACCAGGTCAGAAAAACCGGTACAAGGTCATGGTCAAATTTCAATTTTCTTTATGCACCTGTTCAACTCACAGTTTTGAACTGATTTCCTTCAAACTTTCAGGATGTCCTAAGTTCACTGAGTTGTTAAC